AGACAGAGAGAGACATAGAGACAGAAAGCGAGAAATCACCCCCCAGGGGGGATGGTCACGCCGCAATCCCCTCTCCTCCATTCTCCTCTCGGGATCTTGGGCACGCATGCACACGCGCCTGGTGTGAGTTTTAAGCCACCGGGTCCGGGACACAAACCGTGGTCGACTACGTGGGAGTCCAGCGACATAGCCATTACGCTAACTGCTGGTTCCCTGTCTCTCTCTTCTGAGTCTAAATAAATAATCAAACATAATGGAATATTCTTTATACAGTGCTTGTCTCCTGAAACAGTTTCTTGGCACATTTTTTGATCATTTTCTTAAATACGATTAAAGGTTCTTTAAACAATGTGCAGAATATCTTAAAAAGGACATATGAAAGGTGTTTATGTGGCAGAAGGGTCATGTTGTTCTGGAAAAGAAAAAGTAAAATAAACGACTGCCATCAGTTTAGAAAAACATATGGTAGTGTAGAGTAGATATAAGCAATTAACTAAAGAAATATCAATGACTTTAACAGGTAATGGCACTAACAACTTTTCTTTTCCTTTTTTTTTGGAGAGGTTCCTGCTGTAGGGCATGTGCTCTTGCCAGAAAGACAGACTGAAAGCGAGAAATCACCCCTTAGGGGGGATGGCCATGCTGCAATCCCTTCTCCTCCATTCTTTTCTCAGGATCCTGGGCATGAACACACATGTGCTCAGCGTGAGTTTAGGTCACCGGGTCCGGGACCCAAACCATGGTAGACCACATAGGAGTCCAGTGACATAGCCATTATGCCAATTGCTGGTCCCCAGCACTAGCAATTTTTCTATGATATTTATGTGGCTGCACTTTAAGTGGAGAATTTTATATTGTGTGAATAATATCTAATAGGGGGGCTGGCAGGTGGCATGGTGGTTAAGGGCGCTGGACTCCCACATGGCCAACCACAGTTCGAGTCCCAGACCTAGTGGCTTACTTTCTCACTTTCTCTCTCTCTGTCCCTCCTTGGTCAAATAATAAATAAATAAATAAATAAATAAATAAAGTTAAATAAAATAATTATTTTAAAAGAATTTAATAAATAATAATACTTAATATGCAGATGAGTAACTTTAAAAAATATTGTCCCACTCAATTATTTATATTTACCTTTTTATTATCTATAAATGTGAACATGTAACAAATGCTGTTTTTCTCTTTAATATTTTTAAGCCAACTGCACTGAAAATGTAAGAAACATTTGAAAGAGCTAACCATAGTGTTTTGTCTTGTTTTAAGAGAGATTTTTGCTATAAGGCACATATGCTCGTCAAACAGACAGAGACAGAGAGATAGAAAGTGAGAAATCAACCTCTTCCCCAGGAGGAATGGGCTCGCCGCAATCCCTCTTCCTTCATTCTCCTCTCAGGATTTTGGATATCCAGGTACATGCACCCAGCATGAGTTCAAGCCATCCATCAGGGGCTTGAATCACAGTAGACTATGTGGGAATCCAGTGACATAACCATTATGCCATCTGCTGGTCCCCCAACCATAATTTTGGGGAGAATAATATCAACAGAAAAACAGGAGAAACAAATTTTAAAGTTTTTTTTTTTTTATAAGTTGTTTGTTTGTTTACTTTAATTTGACAAGAGAGGGACAGAATGAGAGAGAGAGAAGGAATATGAGAAAGTAAGCCACCAGGTCTGGGACTCAACCTTAGTCAGCCATGTGGGAGTCCAACACCCTTAACCACTATGCCACCTGCTGGCCCTGAGAAACAAATTTTAGCAAAAGTAGGTGGCATGGAAGTTAAGGCACTGGATCCCATATGGTCAAATGTGTGGTTAGAGTCCAGGACCCGGCAGCTTGAGTACACGCCTTGTGTGTGTGCCCAAAATCCCAGAGAATGAAGAAAGGACTATGGCGTGGCCATCTTCCCCAGGTGTTGCTTTCTCATTTTCCCTCTTGGTCTCTCTCTCCCTCCAGCAAGCACATGTGCCCTATAGGAAACCTAGAAAAAAATAGGAAAAGAAAGAAAAAGAAAAAAACAATGACTTATTAGTATATTACTTATGTTTTGTTTAACCAGATTTAACCAGTGAGGTTACTTATGTTTTAAAATCTCAGAACACAGATATTGCTTAATCAGAACAAAGTTCAAAGAAAGCTTGAATTAACCAAATAAAAGCTCTGGGCCAAGGTCAACAAACCAAGATTATTTAAAGTAAATTGCACACAAAGAGATAATTAAACCTGCAAGTTTGAGACATTTGCCTCTTTGAACAATGATACTGATTTTCTGTCTGAAAGGAAGATCTTTTTTTTTCTTAAAGGCCATTTTTCTTTTAAAATATTGAGTAGCTTGTGTTTGGGCATCTTTTTAAAATTTCCTGGATATATGATTTGGGATTTTGTTACAGAAGCTCTACGCTAAAAACAGTTTGACCAAAAGTATTTTCTTCACTTTTGAGAAGACTTTGTACTTGATCTTGTACCAAGAGGTTTTGAACTCCACTCATGGCAAACACATTTTTAGTAAATTTCTGAGGAAAACAATAACAACAGGTTTAGTTCAAAATTTAGCACTCAGTTATTTGAATTCTTATTGCTTGTTTTTTTCAGGTCTGTTGCAGTGGTTTAGATCATGCTCTCTTTGTATGCAATACAGCATTTCACAGCGAGCATTTGATATTAAAAGACTTAGGTAAGATGTACTTCACCCTGAGGTTGCAAAATTCTAGGCATGAAATTGTAATCAACAGCACCAATCCCTACAGGGCTTTATCATCAGCTCAGAGCAGGAAAAACCTAAGTAGAATGAAGGTGGCTATGATGATTACTAAGACGATTAACTATGTTGTCTAATCACCCTAGTTTCTACTTCCCTTTGGCCTCAAAAGTCAAAGGTTACTTGCTGAAAAACAGAACAAAACAAAAGTCTACTTGCCTAGAAAGGAAATTTGAATTCTTCACCTTACTGTAAACTCTTATAAGAGGAACTAAAACTGCCATTTAAATGTGTTCAATGTGTTGTTCGGGAACTTTGGCGTGACTATGCTATGAATCATAGTTTCAAAATTAAAATTACCTTTGGATCCTCCAGTGAAAGAGCAAAGATCTGCTCCTCGACCTGATCACACTCTGAACGCAATACATCTTTAATCACCTCTTTTAAAAATTCCCTTAAAGTTTGCGCCTGGACTATGACGCCAGGATGTGAAATTAAATGCTTCAGTGAATGTAACCAGTTAACCTCGCAGTGGTGTTCTAGTCTCTACAGAGGACAATGACGTCTTTCGTTTCGGGAGATCTTAAGAAAGCCGGGAGAGGAACCGTCAGTCCCAACTCCCGAAAGTGGCTGCTGAAGCCCACACCGCCCTGCGATCCCCGCCCTTCGGGCGACATGACGTTCAGAACGGCGGGGATTTCCGTGCAGTGACACACGGCACTTCCGGGCGGCGGTGAGAGTCCGTGACGTGGCAGGCGAGGCCGGGCAAGGTCCTCCGGGCCGCGCCGCCCGCAGCTGTCAGGTGGCCTGGGGCAGCCCCGCGGGG